AAAGAGATGCCTGGGGGGGGGGGGACATGATAGAGGTTTATAAAATTATGCATGGGGTGGAGAGAGTTGACAAAGAGAAATTTTTCTCCCTTTCCTGAAATACTAGAACATGATGTCATCCAGTGAAGCTGATGGGTAGTAGATTTAGGACGGTCAAAAGGAAATCCTTTACACAGCAAGTAATGAAAATGTGGAATTTGCTGCCAGAGGCTGTAGTCATGGCCAGAGGCATAAACAGCTTTAAAGGTGGGTTAGACAGATTCATGGAGGATAAGTCTATTAGTGGCTACTAGCTATAGTGACTAAAGGGAAACGCTGCCTTCAGAGGCAGTAAACCTCTGAATACCAGTGCCAGGAAGCAACACCAGAGGAAGGTCTTGGCCTCTGTGCCTTTTGTTGCACCTCCAGAGGAGCTGGTTGGCCACTGTGTGAGACCAGATGCTGGACCACTGGCATGATCCGTCAGGGCTCTTCTTATGTTCTTATGAGAGTCCATAAATCAGTGGTAGAGCATCTGCTTGGCATGCAGAAAGTCTCAGATTCAACCCCCTGCATCTCCAGGTGAAAGGACCAGGTGTGAAAGACCTCTGCCTGAGTCCTTGGAGAGCTTTTGGCAGTCTGAGCAGACAATACTTGACCATGATGAATGGTGGTCTGATTCAGTGTAAGGCAGGTCCACGTGTTCATGCATGAGTATTGCCTTTCTCATCCCTTCACCCTCAGAACCTTCTGGTTGAAACTTTGAGCAGGGGGTTGGACTAGATGTCAGTATGGCCCCTTCCATCTCTGTGATTCTATGATTATATGACTATGTAGAATGGGACGGGTGAGACTTTATACATGGGAAGGGAAACCTTATTGTTTCAATCTTCCCGAAATCTTCCTCAGTCTTCCAGGTGCTGAATTTCTCAGAAATCAGAAGATGCATTTTGGCAGTCTGAGCAGACAATACTTGACCATGATGAATGGAGGGTCTGATTCAGTGTAAGGCAGGTCCACGTGTTCATGCATGAGTATTGCCTTTCTCATCCCTTCACCCTCAGAACCTTCTGGTTGAAACTTTGAGCAGGGGGTTGGACTAGATGTCAGTATGGCCCCTTCCAACTCTGTGATTCTGTGATTCTATGAGTATGTAGAATGGGGCAGGTGAGACCTTATACATGGGAAGGGAAACATTGTTTCAATCTTCCCAAAATCTTCCTCAGTCTTCCAGCTGCTGAATTTCTCAGAAATCAGAAGATGCAGTATAAGTGGTCAGATCCCCTTTACTGGGTGTGTATGAAAAAAGTTGAGCAGTTTCTAAATTCAACATGTGTGCCATACAAAGTGTCCAGGGTTCTTTTTGTAGAAAAAGCCCAGCAGGAACTCATTAGCATAATAGGCCACACCAAATAGCAGAAACTCATTAGCATATTGGGCCACACCCCTGACAGCACCACTCATTAGCATGTTGGGCCGCACCCACATGTTACCAGAAGTGTGGTCATCCAGCCACACCAACCTTTTGCTTCTTATTCTGTTTACCTTGTTTGTTGCCAGAGCTTTTTTTGTAGCAGGAACTCCTTTGCATGTTAGGCCACACACCCCTAATGTAGCCAATCCTAATGAGTTTCTGCTGTTGGGTGTGGCCTGTTATGCTAATGAGTTCCTGCTGGGCGTGGCCAACTCAGGAGCCAGCCGGAACTCCGTTCCTGTGCGTTCCTGCCCAAAAATAGCCCTGCAAGTGTCTGTGTATTTGTGTGTGGGGGGGATATTAGGTAAGTAGTACTGACGTTGTAAACAATGATATCACACTATTTTATATGTAGTAGACAGTGAAATTTGAACCACAGGAGAAAAGGTGTTGTTGAGTTGATTGTCAAATCTTTCAGACTCCTACTTCCTATTTCCAGTAAAGATCTTTTCAGCTTTTGTTGTACAATATCAGTAGCAGAGTTGGTTAAGATCATTTGCAAATTGTGCCATTATGACATTCAAAATGTATTGTAACAGAAAAAATACACTTAACTAATGCTAATTTACAGCTAATTTTAATTTTAATTTCCCATTCAGTTTACATAAAATGCACTGTAACCTTCAGCTATTATCTCAAGAATTCATCCTCGGCTGAAACTGTCTTTTAGAGATAATTCATAAGAATTATTCATAGCCAACCGTATAATTAATTAAAACATATAACAAGATTTTTGTTGGATTTAAAATATAGTTCTTTGTTGGTACTAATGTAAATAAAATTGCACCCTTCCAAATTATCACATAATGTAATATCATTAAGTGGGGGACCTTCCATTGTTCGTAGGGAAGTACATTTAATAAAATGTTTAATATAGTCTTAACGTTCTTGGAGTCCATGTTGTATTAGCTTGTTGCCATTCTTTAGCTGTGGTCGCACTGGAGGCTTGCCGCGATCTGGGCGTGCCTCTAATTCGGAGGTCCCAATCTTATTTGGCCTATCGCCCCCTTTTCAAAAAAAAAAATTACTCAGCCCTCCCTGTAATCTACCTTCAAAAAGTGGACAAAAAGTTGCAGTTTGTGGATCTGCACCTGGATCGTTCCAGCCCACCTGGATCATTGCAGCACCCCCCAAGGGGCAGTATTGCCCACTTTGGGAACCAGTGCTCTAATTGCACCTGTTTAAACTGTTGCAGTGCAGACCAACTAGACAGCACACCCTGGGGTGGTTCCACTACGTGCTTGTCTGGTGGTCAGGCATTCACAGTACTGCAGTGTCTCAACCATGGAGCACGCTACCCGGTCATTTTTGTTTTAATGCAGGTGGGTGCATCCCATATGCACATATAGGCAGCAATTAGAAAAAACAGTGGCAGAAACAGAACTGTGGGTTCAGACTTCCCTTCTGGATTCCTTTCGCAGCAGGAGAGTTCAGACATCTGGGAAAGCAGAGTAGAAGCACTGGCATCTGCAAACATTGGACTTTCCCTGGTGCCTGATTACTCCACTTCCAAAGCAGGGCAACAGGAGGTGCCAATGTCTGGGGCATGGAAGGCAGATGTTGCTGTCTGATCATGCTCTTTAAATCTGCAAAGGTAACTCTACTGTATTGTGGCAAACTGCTCATGTGACCACAGCCTTTGTTGATCTAATAGACTAAAGAGAAGAATTAAAGGAACTGAGGATTGATATATTACATTTTATGAGGCACAGGGCACTAGTTCCTGGAAACACTAAAAATTTTGCATCTCTGCCAAGATATCCCATGAGTAGCCTTCTAAAGTTTTGCACAGCCGACTAGTCTTAAGCAAAGGGAACAAAGTTCTGCCATTACTTTATTCACAGTCTATTTATCTGTTCTTTGTGCAGCTAGGTACTTCTGCAGTTTGGCTGTGCCATACATGTTCCTTATTAGCAAATAAACTATTGGGTCAGCTAAAGGCAAACTAACAGAATGTGTGTGGTAAGTGCTGAACAGCTGTTTTAATGGTATCTGAAGAAGTGAGCAAATGACTCACAAAAGCTCATACCCTACCACAAACATAGTTAGTAGTTAAGGTGCTACTGGGCTCTTACTCTATTCTACTGTTTTATTCTTTTGGAGGCTCCAATCTGCCACCAGCCAGCTGGTCAGTGGGAGAAGCCCCGTTCCCCAAGCCCCACCCCCAAGAACGACCACCCAGGATCACCCCTTCTTCCTCCCCTCCTGTGAGATTTAAAGGGCTTCAGCTGATCAGCAGGGGGCACATGATCCGCCCACCCCCGGAACACCCCCCAAATCCTTCCACCAGAGTAATGAGGGAACCTGGCAACCCTAGGGCATACACATAATGGCATAATGAAGTTTGGTGTAGTGGTTAAGTGTGCCGACTCTAATCTGGGAGAACCAGGTTTGATTCCCACTCCTCCACTTGCAGCTGCTGGATGACCTTGGGCAAGCCATAGTTCTGACAAGAGCTGTCCTTGAAAGGGCAGTTCTCAAAAGAGCTCTCTCAGCCCCACCTACCTCACAGGAGGGGAGGGGAAGGGAAAGGAGTTTGTAAGCTGCTCTGAGTGAAGGGCAGGGTATAAATCCAATCTCTTCCTCCTCTTCCTCCATTCATTCCCAAACAGTCTTCTGCAAACTGCTCTCCTGCTCAATACATCTTTTTTTTTAAAAAAACAGAAATAATAGTTATTTTTCTCAGTGAATTAAGTCAGAAAGTAAATATTTATAAAGCCTTTTAAAGTTCTAATATGTTTCATGAATGTGAATGAGCATAGGAGGCCAGCTAGGATGTGATATGATGTCATACCTATTGTAAAAGGTCATTTGCATTCACAATTTAGATCTCTAGAGCAATGAAACTGGTATGAAAGTATTCTTATTTCATTCATTGAAAGAATATATTTGTTTTTCTTTCTTCCAGAGTAAATAATCCTATGTAGTTGCTCTGAAAATTCATTTTCATGTGATCATTTTAAACTTAAGCACAGGAGTGTTCGTGACTGCTAAATATTGTGATCAACAGTGAACTTTTATCTGTGAACAGTGACAGTGGCATTTTACCCCACTGAGCTCTCTCCCCTCCCCAAACACCACCCTCCGATACAACCCCACACCAAATATCCATAAATTTCCTAACCTGGAGTTGGCAACCCCAGGTCCCATATACTGTCAGTCTCAGAAACCAGAGTATGATGACCTTTCCTCCTCTGTAGTTGATGTTGACTCAGGTATCATAATAACCAAGAAACGTTTGATGCAATATTATTTGTAATCTCATGTTTTTCTCCATGTTTTTTTTCCAGTCTGCTCCCAGTATTCAAGAGGAGTTTTTGCCATTTTTGGACTGTACGATAAACGATCAGTACATACCTTGACCTCATTCTGCAGCGCCTTGCACATCTCCCTCATCACGCCAAGTTTCCCCACCGAGGGCGAGAGCCAGTTTGTGCTGCAACTGAGGCCTTCCTTACAGGGAGCGCTCCTAAGTTTGCTGGGCAATTACAAATGGAACCGCTTTGTCTTCCTTTATGACACGGATAGGGGTAAGTAGTTAGCATTTCCTGCACCATTTAGCTGCCTCAAGGAGCATTTCTGCACCTTGTACTTGGGGAAAAAACATTGCTCTCATAATAAAGTCATGGTTTGGGTGGGTAACTTTAAAGGCTATCGGCTGCATGTCACCATTCTATGGGTGGCCCATATCTGAGAGTTTTGTTCGCTTTTGTTTTATGGTAGATGGATACAAAAATGAGCTTAAGAATAATAGCTATAAAGAACTTCTAAATGAAAAGCAAACTTTTTTTTTTAAAGGGATTTGTTTAGATTTCTTACCATGATTTTAGACTCACACTTCAGACTTTTGGATGGGTTGATTGAAGGCCCCTCACATTCATAGTGAATAATTCCAATGTTAGAATGGGCACATTCTGGCCATGATTAAACTAAATCCAATTTATTTATGGCTTTGAGACTGGGGGCATTGAAGGATATAAAAGTGGTCAAATGTGGCTGCATCATGCGTAGATTTCAAAAGCAACATATGCGCTGCTAATGTTTGGTATCACCTGTATTAATACAAATGTGCTCACTATGTGCTAATTTTGCATAACTATTTACCTGCAGACCTTTCTTATTGTGAATCATTGTGGTGGTTCTGTGCAACTCAGTATGGACATATATGTCATAGTGTACCATTTAGTCCATGGTGCACGGTTTCTCTTCTTTGTTTTTAAAACACTCAGATAAGCATGCTTTGAAATACAGCTGTAAATAGCTATATTTCATTTCTGCATTGCAATATATTCTGCATTGCAATATATTCTGTGATCAAGCTGCAGTAATTAGGAATCAAATACATGGGGAAACAAACATACAATTGTAACTGTTCTCCATGCAAACCTAAAATGTTTTCAGTTAAAAAAAATCCCAGACAGCCAGAATCCACCTTTCTCATCTAAATTCCAAACTGACACAGTTTGAACCATGCAGTGCCATACCAAAGGCAGCTTCAGAACCTCATTTGTAACAATATGTTTTGTTATACTTCGGAAACTTATCTCAACAACTTTGAAACCATCAAAGTGGTTTTTGCAATGAAGAAGTTAACAGAAGTTATAATGCTATTTTCCTAAATTTGCAACACTCCAAAGGGGTTACCATATTAGTCTGTGGCCCCGGTCATACGGGCAGGAAACTGCGCGGGGGGGGAAGCGTGGTAGTTTGCCCCGGGGCAAACTAACGCGTGGTAAAGAGATCAGACCTCCCATTGAGGTACCGTGGAGGTACCGTGGAGGTTCCGTGGGAAGGGAGAGGTGCTGATCGCAAGACAATTCCGTGCGCAAAAAAGAAGAGCGCGGTGCGGCAAACTGGATGTTTTTTTTCGTGTACACCACGACTGCGCATGCTCCGTTGGGTGCTTGTGCGCATCCACGGAGATATGGGGGAAAAAAACCTTTTTCGCAAGGGGACATGGGCGGGCGCCGGATGCCTCCGGAAACGCGATCAGACGCCTGCCCTTGCCCCGCAGTTACCATAAACTAGTACCTCCGAGGTACTAGTTTTTTGATGCGTGTTTTCGGCGGCAAGCCTCAGTTGAGCCACGGAAGTGCTATGCTTCCCAGATGTGCCGGTGAGATCGCGCCCGGAAACTCCGCCTGTCTTCCATCGCTCTAGCGTGGCTAATGCTCCGTGTGACCGCAGCCATCGTTAGGAAAAACAATGAAGAATCTTGTGGCATCTGAAAAACTAGCATTTTTTTCCCCTTTAATTTTCCCAGATAAGTTCCCCCCCCCGTCATTTCCCCAGATTTTCTAACAAAGTCTCTGTGGCCCATGAAAGTGTATGCCACAGTATGTTTGTTAGGGTTGGATCCAAAGGTCGTTTTGTACGGGGGGGGGGACGCTGCATTTTTGTCAGTTTCTGTTTCCATTGCAGACCCCTACTTTGCAGACTCCTACTTTAGCTGAGATGGTCTCCTGTTCCCCACAAGCAGCATTTTGGGGAACTTAAGGAGCTGCCACAGCAGGAGGAGGTAGAAAAATTCTACTTTGAATCCAATCCATAGTCTTGAAAACATCACAAGACTTTTCATTGTTTCTGCGTTTGACACAAATCATGTAAAAATTAAATACATGTTTGTGATTGGTTGCAAACCGGTCAGCTGTTCTTCTAACCCCCCCCCCCTCAATGGATTCACTGAAAAGACTGTATTTCTAGGCCCTGGTTATGCCTCATCTACTTAGTAGAACTTTTGTCATTACTGAGAATTGTTTAGTTAAACAGGCTGCTGTCACCCCATCTATTTTCCCCTTCATTAGTCTGGTCTAGACGTGCTATTGGGCAGGGGTAAAGCTGGCTCCACTGGTGATATCTAGGCCCTCCAGGGTCCTGGTTTGGTCAGTTTATTCATTTATTATTTCTTTATTAAATTCAATTTTTATACCACCCATTCCCTGAAGGGCGGTATACAACACAATAGAATAACATATCACACCGTTAAAAATGGTATGATAAAAACTGTTGCTGTTGTCTGGCACCATTCCAAGCTGTGGTGGAGTTTTCCCCCCAAAAAAACAATCTCGCCAGCATCACAACTGTGATGATGTCACTTGGAAAAACCTGGAAGTGACAGTTGTAGTTCTAGGAATTTCTGGAAGACTTACGGTTTCTGGCACGCTTTTGCTTTAGCTTAACTGACTGTGAGCCTGGGATAACTGCAGCCAAGCTGGTTTACTCT